AGGCCGTGAAAGATCTCTGAGATCTGAGATCTCTGACCAGCCAGTCAGTCGGCAAGGTCGACCATTATTAATACACATTGGGCTGTGTAATGGCTTAATCGAAAAGCGGGAAAGGAAAATAAGAAAAAAAGATCGATTAGACCGCAAATTATGATCAAGTTTTTTTTCATTTATAGGATTTTCTATAAAAACGTATTAGTTTTATATATTATTATTTCTATTATATTTATAGAGTGCTGTAGATTGCAAAAGGATTTGCATATTTGTAAAGAAAATCCATCATATTTTTTTCCTTAATCTTTATTTAAAAGATTTTTAATTGGTTTACAAAAGTAATAAATTTAAGATATTGTTCCCAGCTAAGAAACAGACATTTAAAAGTCTCCATCCGTTGGATAAATCATAATCTGACTGATTTCGCATCATTCCTGCATTCTTCCGGTAATAACACAAATATTTTGCCACTTCGTCGCGTATGTTTGTTTATATATGTATATGTATGTACATATGGTTTGTTCTTTTGGGCGCCGCAATGCAATCCAACAATGCCCTTTAATCGGGCTTATTTCTGAGTTCGTTATGGTAATGAAAATTGGACAATAAGTGGCCGTACGGTCGAATACAAAACTGAAAACAACAACCAAGAGAAGATGCCGAAAACAACTTGGATGGTGGAAAATTCAATTTGGTACCCAGCAGCACCAGAAGGAGCCAAAAAACAAAAATATATATAGGCATATATATATCAAAAATAAAGTAAGAAAACACTGCTGCAAAAGCGAGTGCAATAAATTGTTACATTCGCGGCACGACGCGCACCTGACACATAAGCTCCAAGTTGTCGTCTTCATCTGCGCCTTTTGCCGCCGTTCCCCAAAAGAGAACTCGACCTGGCGGAGGAGAGTTCGAGATATATATATGTGTATATACTACGATATCCCAGAGATCCCGAGACCCAAGAGACCCAAGACCGAAGACCCAAGAGAACCGAGACCCAAAGCGATTACGATCTGGCCAAAACTGTTGCCAAGTCGATCGAGCACTTCGAGCGGAAGATTGAACATCTGGTGGCTTGCTGTGAGGTAGCGGAGGTGGCGGCCCATTGGATCACAGTGGTCTGTTTTTTCGGCTCTGAAAAGGTGTGATAAACAACGAGTGTATTGACAATTCTTGGAAGCCTTTTTAAAGATAGTTTTGGTGAATATATTTTTATTTACAATGAAACTACGATCTCCTATCTTAAATGGGAAATAAAAATAAAGTAATATAGTTTACCATATTTTTGGTCTAAAAGTCTGTCTTATATTTAATTTAACAACAAATTTGTAGTGACGATTTTTTTAACCGTGGGTTAAAATAACAACCTATTAAATATGTTTTTTATCACCGCATAATATTTCCGAATGGTAACTTATTGATCTCAGATTGGTAAAATACCGACTCGGAACCACTGTTCGTTTGGCGGTGGCTGCTCTGCAATTATACGCCATGGCTGGCGGGGGTGGTGGAATAAGATGGAATGGGATGAGATGAGATGGTCAACGGATTCAGCGGATTATACGAGCCGGCGCTGGGCAGCAACAATTACGATGACGAGGTCGGACTGGGATATGGATGGTGGATATATGGATATGTGGATGTGCGAACAATGTCCCATGTCCTCCATTATTGCATCTGCACATTCGTGTTTTTTTTTTGCTGTTGCCGCTGCCGATGCCTTTGCAATCTTATTTTATGCCACCGCGGGCATACATACATCGTGTTTTTCAAGAGGGAGGGCAGCGCAAATCGGTCTAAATTATTACTCCACTGTAGAGTAAAGTGACTGAGATCGCCAGATCTACATATATCGGCTTAACTTGCCATTTTGTGCTAGATTTTAACTGGACTTCACGTCGGTTCTAATGTGCTAATTAATAGATCGTAATGGTGGGGGAAACACAGCAACTAAAGATCTGATCGACTGACTGATAACAGCGACACTTAAAATAAAGCCATTTAATTGCGGATAAATTTAGAAATAATATTTTAGGATATCTATTTGTAATGTTAAATAAGTAAGAAATAGAATATCTTCCATGACATAAATTGAGAACATTTATAATTGCATTTTGAGAAAATATGTTCTTGAAATCCTTATTTATCTATTGCTTTTTATTATTTTCTGTGAGTAAGAGAAGGTTGAGGTTTTTGAGGTTGGATTTTTTGGTTGAAACAATTATTATTTGGATCAATTCTAAATTTTGCGATCGAAATAATCCATCGGTTAGAATAAAAAATATGTTATTTGTCGTAAAAATGTAAATAATTTTTTTTACCGCTAATTTTGCTTGTGATATAATGAAATTGGCTTTCAAATATTCAAGTTAACCAAGAATGGAAAGTGTAGCTTATTGACACTCGGTTGTTGCACTGTAGGCAAGTGTCGGAGGGTCTTTAGCACTGTTTACCTTGCGGTCGGATTGGATGGGGCCTTCGGAGCTGGAGGCATTGAGGCATTGGCCGCCGTCACAGCTCTCCACTCTCCACTTTCCACTCTTAACTCTCAACTGGCGCCCAACGTGGTGGACGCCTGAGCGACAATCTTTGCCGTCAGCCAACCATGATGATTCCAGGTGTTGGCTACATTTCCAGCCTGTCATTTGGTCTTTGTCTCTGTGGACACCTTTCCCATAAAGCACACTTGAGGAAAATATTGTTTCAAATTGATACCTCTTAGGAAGAAGAGTATTCTACCGATGCGAAGAATTAAGTTTAAAATTTTGCAAAATGGAATTTAAAGAAATTGAGTTGCCTTTCAAAGGTTTCCTTCAAAAGAATGAAGTGTTATTTAATCCTTGCAAAAGGGCTTGTTTATTTTAAATTGTATTTTCCAACCTATTTGAATTATGTATTATGGTTTGCATTAGAGCTTGAATAAATATCGATAGTTTGTTATTTCTCGATACTTAAGTTGTGTTTTTTTCCCTTCAAAACATCGATGTTACTGAATCGATAATGTCAAAATATCGAAAATGTCGATAAATTTTAAACTCTGGTTTGCATACCACAAATTCAATACAAATTGTGATAATCGGACAAAATAGTCCTACAAATTATTTATTTAAATTTAAATTTCAAACGAAATGGCCAAATGTTTCTTACTCAACTGCAGTTGCAGTGAAAAGATGCGAAATGTGTGGAAGGGGGTTTCGGGCCTCCCCTCCTCTACGTAGTCGTAAGTTGTAAATAAAGTAAGGAAAAGTCAACTGCCGTTCTATTGCTAATTATAAGCATGGTGTAAATTTACAATGCTTGTGTTTACAGCTCACGAACAACCGATTATATATGACTATATAGTTATGGCCTCCGCTGTGACTCGTCATATGTATATATCTATATCGTATATATGTGTATATATATATCGTGTATACCCATATTTGACAAAGGTTGAGATAAACAAGAAGACAAAAGGCAAATGTCGGAACTGTTCTGTTGTCAGGTATTATATTATTCCCACTCACACTGATTCAAACTCTAGCTCATTTTCATTCACTTGCTACCGTTCTGAATTCCTTGTGTCTTCATTTGTCATTTTTTGTTTTTTCAAATGGAAGAACCGAACCCCAGATATCATTTATTGTTCATCACTTCTGCGAATAGGAAATCAATGTTTAGGCAAAACCTCCACCAAATACACAAACACACACAAATTATTACTATATGTATGCGCGGAACCGACCTTGAGATTGAATAAAAAAGAGAATTAATAAAACCAAAATGACCTGTTTAATTCATGAGAAAATCCAGATGGAAGATATGCTATTATGGATGGGAAAAAAGTGGCAAGTGCTCGGCTCGTTTGAGGGAAAATCAAGGCTGAATAAAAGAGCTTTGAAAAAAGCACTAGGAAACTAGAAAAGATGGGCGCATGAGGCTAAACTAAGGGGAAATTCTCGTTCATCGCCATTTAAAGAATTTGATTTCTGTTTTAGCTATGCTTTTGAGAATATAAAGAGAAAGGAATATTTTTAGTTTAGTTAGTGCTTAAGAATGTGAAGATCCCTTCACTTTTTTCTTAATACCAAAAAACATATAAAAATCAAATTAAATAATTTATTTTTGAGGATCCCACGCAACTAAAACTAATCAAGAAAATTTGTTATTAGAAATTAATGGTGATAGTTATAGTTACATTTACAAAAAACCATTCTTGTCTTTTATTTAAAATGTCATTCTCTATTAAATCACACAACAAGAAATGAATTATGTAAACACTATGCTAAATTGTTTACATTATGCCATACACTGAAGATCCTGATAATCAGGTTTACCGGCAACAACAAATGCAGTCTTACTTACAAATAGGCTAATTAAACCGCACTTGATCAAAATAAAGATACTGACAAGTTGACAGGAAACACGGAACCGGTACATACGAATGTGCATGTGCATATGTCTGTATGATCATAATATAGATGAAAGTGCAAGTTGTTTGGAAGCCTCATTAGTTAAAAACCACATTAAAATCATTACAAAATAAGAGGATATTGAGAATATCGTTTACAAGTTTTAGTTTTATTTATTCTAACTATCAACGTCTATATGGGGAAAAAACTTTTTTTTTTGGCCATAAAAAGTCACCTATAAGATTTGATCCAATATCCTTTTGGTTTATGGAAAACAGTTTTTAATCAGAACTTATTGAGCCTACAATCAAAAACCATAATTATGAGTGATTTAATTGCCCTATTGTAAATTGGTTTTTAACAAGTTACGTATACGAGATGTAGGCCCTACCCTTAAACTTGCATCAATCACCATTAAATAAAAGGAATATCAAAGGAATATTAAAAGAATTTGTATTTTTTATATCCAATAGATCGATTCTATAAGTAATTTCACGGAAACAAAACGATATCTTTCGAATCCCTCGATTTTAAATGTAAGATTTTTGCGAGAGGATAAAGGTTAGAGACAGTTTTTTGGGGTTTTCCCGTATTTTCCTTAGCTTATCTCACCTTTATATTATTATTTTCTTTTGCGTTGGTGTGCGTTGTTGTTGTCGGTGCGTTGTTGTTGGTGTTTTGGTTGCTGTTGTTGTTGATGCAGTTGCTTTAGTGCATTTGGTAGATGCTGTTTTAGTTGCTCACACACACACACACTAGCACATAGCACACACGCACACACATGCAACAACCCACGTGCGTGTGCACGAGAATTTTTTGTTTGTTTGGCTCGTTCTTTTTTATTTTTGTTGATAATTTTTTTTTATTTTTAGTTTTTATTTATAAATTTTGAATTTTTATTTATTAATTTCTTTTATATTGTTTTGTTCATATTGAAATTGGCTAAAATAAAGTGGACAGTTGGTATTTGATATTATTTAATAACCGGCACTGAGTTTTGGTATTGGTAATGGCTTCTTTTTTTTAAATAAAGGGTTTAAGGTTTAAGTTTTAAGGATAAGTTCTTGTTTTTTATCTATCTGTCTCTTTCACTCGTTTCTTTTTGCCGTGCGAAGAGGACGGACGACAGGCGGAGGTCGCAGTGCCGCCGCTTTTGAAAACGGTTATAAAATCGGGCGACAACGACGCGAAAATTGGCGCTGCTTTTTGGACGTCGTCGTTGGCGTCGTCGCTGCGACGACGATTTGGCGACTTTGCGACCCGATGTGTCGCCATTTTTCGCTGGCCAAAAACTTTTCCATGCACTTTGCACTCTCGTTCTCGCCTCTCGCACGCCCCGTCCCTCTCGCTCGCACGCCCCCTATGCACATGCAGTGTGCGGTGTGTGTGGCTATCTCGCTCGCACTCGTATTCGCACTCGCTGCGACACAAACAAACCAGCACACCCACACACAGAGAGATAGAGGGACACCCACACACACACAGAGACACCCGCGCGCACACGACACACAATCAAAAACCCATTCGGCTACTCGCCCCCCTTCCCTCCGCCCCACACACTCTCTCTCTCTCGTTCTAATAAAAGACCCCCTCTCTCGGTATCCCCCCCCTGCCATTCGTTTGCCTTTCGACCAATGACACTCGACGACAATATTAGCGAGCACACACACATACACTTACGCTACGCACTCGCACAAACACACACACGCAGGCAAAAAACGAGTCACAAAAAACGAAATGTCGACGTCGACGTCGACGTCGACTGCGCTGCCGGCAGAGATGCTGGGGACACAAAAATACAGGGGGGAATATAGTAAAAAAAAAAAAAAAGAGAGGCGGCTTTGGGGCTATGTAATCCAATCCAAGAAGTGGGCGTGGGTGGGTGGGTGTGGCAAGGGGGCAGGGGGGTGGATAAAAAACGAACGCAAAACGCACAGGAAAAAGCAAGGAAGCCAATCCAAAAGACGCAACGACAAGCGACAAAACGGCAAGCGACAAACGACAGACGACAAACGACGACGTCGGGAGGGCGACACTTTGCAGCGAGTGCGAGTGAGATGGCGAGACTCGGGGATTGGAATGCAAAAAAGGGAAGCAAGGAGGAGCAGGAGTCAGAGAGCCGAAGGGAAAAGAAGAAGTAAATAAATAGGAGGCACACGAAGCAGGACATTCGCTGTTATCCTGCCCCACCTCCCCTACCCTTCTCCTGTTTTTTTTATTTTCTCACACCCACACAAATGTCCTGCGAGAGGGGCGGAGCACCAATACCAATACCAATTCACTTGAATCTGAATCCTTTTATTTGAGTTCTCTTTTTTTGTAGGTTGTTTTTTTTTTCTTATTTCTCTTTTTTTTTGCACAGTAAAAACAGTAATATGGTAACAATAAAAAAAAATACAAAACTGAAAATGTATGGAAACTAACGGTTTTAGCGACGGCAAAACACTAAGGCGTTTTTTCTTTTTTTTTGCGGTTGGTTTAATTTTTATTTTTCCGATATTTATTTTTATAACCGCTGGCTATATGCCCGATATTCAAGAAGAATTTTTTTTCGAAACCGATTCGATCTCCGTTTGGTCGATTCCCGATTCGATTACCGATTTGCGGTGTGTTGTGCGGTGCGATGCGATGCGGCAGCGGCAAGTCGACTTCACTGTTTGAAATCACGGAGCCGCCGCTTTTGCTGCTTTTGCTTTTGCCGCTTGGCGCTCCGCTCACCGAAAAAAAAGAAGAAAAAAAAACCAGAAAGAAAAAAAAACAAAAACAACAACACGAACGTCTGGGAGCCAAACAAAGCACGCACACACACACAGGCGTACGCAGCGCGCCTCTATTTACATGCGGATTCTCTGGACACTCGCACACACACTCGCTGTCCATTCGGTTTGTATTGCCAGCTCCCTCGCACTCGCTCGGAGCGAGACCAAAAAGCAAGCAGTTCGAAAGCAGTGCTCCACTCTTAAGAGCGCACTCAGTGAGCAAAGAGCGCTCTTTTACTCGCTAAGAGCGAGTCCTTGGACTTTCTGGTCGAAATCGTTATTTTAGTTGCTTTTTTTTCTTTTGATATAATTATCTATCAATAGAAATTATTGATGGGCACTTGGTATTTTTCCATGCGAATTGGCAATTTATTCAAAATATATATTTACCCTTTATAGTGGGCGCTATAATTTGGAAAACATGTAAGGTTAGTTTAATGTTTGAAATTAAAACAAAAATGTTCAATGAAAAAAAGACAAAACATTTCTTTTAACTATGGTTGAAAGTTGTATTTATAAAATGTATTTTATATAATATTTTACACATCGTATTATTTTCAAAAGTTTCGAAAATTTTGTTTGCCTCTCAAACCATTTCCGCCATGAGGTAGAATTTTTAAGCATTTGTTGGAAGTTTTTTTTTAATAAAAGTTTGGGTACCATAGCTTAATAAAATAATCTTTTGGAGATCTGCCACATTTAACTTTTGGATAGAATTGGTGAAGATAACTGCTCTAGAAATGCAGCTTTGGGTCATCATTATGCCAGTCATCGAGATCATCGTTCCCAAATGTGCAGATATTGAGACAATATTATTGCAATGAATGAGCTATTTAAATTATATAAAGTGAAGTTTTAAGTAACTTTTTTTTTTTTTGCTGAAAAAAGTTATTTTTTCGCATAAAACACAAAATAAATGAATTTTTCGAATAATATTGTAAGAACCATGAAAAAATTGGCTTTATCTGTGAGTAGAAAACGAGGAATTTATTCTTCTTTAAATATTTTTGTGTAAGTGCACTTCAGTTTCATAACTTAAATGTGTAACTACAATTTCGATTACTTAAAAGTGGAATCGCAAAATAATCAGAATATCTGGATGAGCATGAATATTAAGTTTGCTGGCAATTGAAATGCATGATTCTTAAAGGGCGCCATGAATATCCAAAGCAAAATTACTCAACAATATCGTTTTATGTGGGGCTATGAATACCGTTTTTCAACTGCAATCGTCGAGAGTCCCAAAGCCCGGGGAATTTGGGATGCAGAAACCAAATGTCAATTGCATACAAATGGGATAAATTTATATCTCCCTATATATGTATATCGCGTATGTATATATCTGTATATAAATGTTCTTGGATTTGTAGACACATTTTGTTTATTGGATGCGAAAGTAAATACTACGCCATGTAGAAGTTGCACATGGAGTTGTGCCCACAAGATGTACATATATATGGGGAAAGGGGGCTGCAGGGGGGGGGTTGGTCAAATCCTTAACCAAAAAGGACCTGCCCCACGTCCATAGAGCTCTCCCTTTCCCCCGTACAAGCACCCAATCCAAAGTCCGAAAGAGTGCGATGATCTCAAAGAGAAGATTGGAGAGAGGAGAGGAGGGGATTTTAGGGAGGGAGAGTTGGTCCACAGGACTCCGTGTGACACATGAAAATGTGTCGCCAGGACCTTCCCTCTCTCTTCCTCCCTCTCTCTCTCTCGCCTTCTCTCTCTCATTCTCTCTCACTCTCTCTCAGGTGCACCTACTCCCCGCTTTATTGGTCGAATGCGGAATGGATGGCTGCGCATGGCAAAGAGAGAAAGTCTATTGCTCTCTCTGTCTCTGTCCCACAGGGGTATCTTTCGCCTTTCGCCGTCGGCTAAGCAGTGCGCACCACCCCCAACCCCGTTTCGTAGGGTACTTCTTACAGCCCAGAGGGTAGAGTATCCAAATGGGTCCATCGTAATCACTAAATGCTAATCTCAGGTAACCAAGGTCATGGCTTACCAAAATATTTTGGGAATTTTCAAAATACAGTAGATCCTGTTTAAGTCAAACCAACAAAATTAAATTTAAGAAATTTCTTTTATTTTGTAAATTTACTTTATTTGAAAATAAAATTTTTTGGATTTATTCTTGTTTCAAATATCTATTTTGGTAATTTTTCCTAAAAATATTTTTCTGAATGTACTTAGGTCGACTGAGGTTCCTGGGCTAAATCGCCAACTGTCGATGGTTGAGATAGAGATAATCCACGGTCCTATTGACAAGTGTCTAGCAGGGCCAGAAATGTGCTCCTCCACTTTGGTCAGATCGAAAGGGCTGAGAGGCCCAGGCAAAAGCAAAAGCTGGGAAATTACATGTCTTGGTATCTAAACGCACATTAACCATCGCTCTTTCAGGTCCACAGACACTTTTTTGTGGGACCAGATCCACACACACAGCGACTGGGCATTTTCCTCCTGCCTTCTTATTTAATTTCGATCGATCACTTAGGGAGGACGAATAATAAAAAATAGCATGAACATGCCGCGGGCCAAAAACGTAGGTCTTTTCTTTCCTGCAGATAACACAGATACAAGTATATACACAGAGCCTCCAAAAAGTTCTTAAAGCACTTGAAAAAATACATTTTTATACTTGATAAAAAGTGTAAGTAATAGAAAAAGCTACGATTTTTTTTTAGGATGGTTTGGCCCCATATTATTTTTTACAGTTTTAGTTAATTTTATTACCTGTTTGAAAATAGTTTATTTCAAGCAACTTAAATTTCTTGTAGTATATAGAATTTTCTTAAATTCCCATTTGCATTGTGAAAAAATCTGAGCGGAGATTACTTTGAATTTGTGACGGTCATGCGTGCCATTTGAACTTCTGCAATCCAAAGCTGCCCCATATGTGGCACTCACCACACCACTCACTACTCAATACTCAATACTCGGTGGTTTCGGATTCCGATTCCACTGATGATGCCAAGCCTGTGGAAATCAATTAAGCCAAGTTCTCACGATCGGCAATGACTTAGTTGGGGCCCCAAGCTGGGATTTAGCTGGGGTTTTAGCAGATGTGCTGCACACCGGTGTGTTAATGGAGATTTTACATGGCGACTGAATAACTGAAAGAGGTGGGACATTAACGTAATGCTTCTAAGGATTGATCTGTGCCTGTATTTTTTTTAGTTTTTTTCGTAATACTGATATTTATTTTTAGAAAATTTCTTTGAAAACCCAAAAAAATGTCTTTTCCTTTATCTTAAGAACTAAGATTTATAGGAATAGGAAAAAAAAGGGATATGATGAAATACCAACTTATAATAACAAGAAAGACATATATTTTTATATGCATGTTTGAATTATCTATGAAAACAAAGAATTAGTTTCCTAAACAGATATGGAATATGAAACATTTGAATCGGGTTGTGCTTAACTGCTTATGAGCTTCGGGATCCCACTATACCAACTACGGTGGGTGGTTATACTTGGTTTAAAAGGAGGGGAACTTGGCCAGGTGCAAGCTACTTAGGGCCCAATCGATCCACAGCAACTTCGAATGCCTTTATCGGCGAATTCATCGCGAGGGAGAGGGTTCGGTTTGGTTTCAGTTCGGATGGGATCGCTTCTTGGGGGAGGATCAGGTTGGTACTTGGACGCGGACTTGGACTTTCGACTGGAGGTTCCTCTCCATGCAGCTGATGACCCGCGGCGATTCGAATTTCCGTCTGGACCAGCTTCGATTGCATCTGCATCTGCGCCTGGAACCTGGAACCTGCAACCTGGGACCTCTGTGTATCCCAATAAACTGGGCCCAAAGTGTGTATAGGATAGGATGGTA